AAAAAAAAAAAAAAAAAGGAATAAGAAAACTTGCGGCCGTGAAACTTAGAAAACAAGGAAAAAAAACCAAAGCAGAGACTCACGTCGTGATTGCAGTTGTGTACATTCTTGGAAGTGGGGGTGTGAGTGTGCCCTCAGTGAGGGCATCTCAGCCTCGTGACCAGATTGCCTGATTCCAGAATGTCAGATTCCAGAAACGAAAAAAAAATAAAAAAATGGAAACACGGATTGGGCCATGAAAATGGCTGGATACATTCCTCTAAGTGTCATTGTGATCAGGGTTACAATCCTCTGATCAGGGATTCCGCTGTCAGATTCCAGAAAGAGTGAGGGAAAAAAAAAAAGGGAACACCGATTCGGCCCTGAAAATGGCTGGATACATTTCTGTAACTGCCAGTGCCATGAGGCTTACAATCCTCTGAGGAAACACACAAAGGGCCTCGCCTCACTACTGTGGTTTCCCGCCTTCGACTGTCACACGGACTAGTAAGGGCCTCATTCCACTACCCTCCACTTGAAAAAAATCTGAAGGGCAGCCCTACGGGCGCCCTTGAGTCAAAACGTAATTAAAAAATACTAGAGGTCGTCGGCGTTCCACTACACCCTGCAGTTCCTGCTCCCAAAAGGAGCGGGAAAATGTGCACCCCTGTTTGTCACGGAAATTTCACAACCCAGGTCCATCCCTCGGCCCCGACAACCGCGATTGGCAAAAAAAAAAAAAAAAGAGGACCGGACGGGGGGGCTGAACTGCTGCCTGGCGACGCATATTGCCGCCGTTTCCAAGAAATTTCAAGTCACCTCCGGGAGGTGACTTGAAAATTGGCTGAAGTTGCCTCGACACCCTACGGCCGCCCTCGAGTTTCAGAGCGGGGTTTTGTTGAGGCGGGAAGCTTAATCGATTTCCAATCGTGATTAACACATCTCAAGGGCCTAGTGGAATGGCGCCGCCCTTGAGATTTTCTCAAGTCGAGGGTAGTGGAACGAGGCCCTAAACTATACTATTCGATGGCATGTGGGCCGAGGCCCCCTGGGTCCAATCGGCATTGAGCAACGTTGCCTTCTTTTTTTTTTCCCTCTCAATTTCACCTCACACTACCTACCTACATTCATGCAGTCTGATGTTCGCAGCCCTTAGGCTGCGCTATACCTCGTCGATTTGACGTAGGAGCGAACGGTCGTTGTGCACCGACCGGTCAGGAGGGTAGTTGGGAGGCCGGGCAAAGTCGAAGAGGGCTCAGAAGAGGGTTTGGATGTGTTACATCTTCGACTCACACGGGTCCTACCGGACCCGACTTAGGGCCGGAGGGACACACCAGGGCCTAAAGGCCCGACCTTTGGGGTTACAGGCCCTAAAGGCCTGATTTTGGACCATCACCCATCTGGTAGGCCCAAACGACACTTCGTTTGGGCCTGGCGGCGCTCTTGAAGCTGTCGCCCGCCGATTGAGGCTGAACCGTCCATCTGGACGGTCCAGGGTCTGGCCTGGCCTCGCAGCATTGAGGCCAGACCATTGCCCACCGGTATAAGTACCGGTATCCGCCTCAGTAAGAGGATCGGCCTACCGGAACTCTACCGGCACGGCATGGTCAGTGCTAGTGCACTGTTTTGATGCGCTAAACTTAGCGCAGGGGCTGAAGCAGGAGCGCAGCATAGTGCAGCATAGCGCAGCAGCGAGCGGAGCAGCAGCGGGCGACTGAGCTTGCACGGCGGTTCTCACCGCCGGAGGTATCGGGAGCTTGGAGGGTCTCTCCTCCTCTCCCTCGCCAGTC